CCAACCAATCTCCTTTCTGATCTCTGGTCTGTCTCGTCCTGGTCTCCTTTCTGCTCACCCAGGACCCACTTCTCCTGGCACAGCTAAATCCAATACAGACACCTCCTCTGGGGAACCTTCTTGGACTCCAGGGCTGCCCCCTTTCTCTTAAAAATAGCATTTATGGCCAGGCGCGGTGGCTCACGCCTGTAATCCCAGCACTGGGAGGCTGAGGTGGGTGGATCATTTATTTGAGCCCAGGAGTTTCGAGACTAGCCTGGGCAACATGAAAAAACCCCATCTTTACCAAAAAATTAAAAAAAAAAGCATTTAAGGAGCAGCAATTCATAAGAGTGGCTGAAACTTACAAGGCCATGTACTGTAAGCTAGGTGCTGCTCTGAGAATTCATACAAATTAACCCACTTAATCCTCACAACAATCTGAAGTGGGTACTATTGTTCTGTCCATTTTACAGAGAAGGAAACTGAGGCACAGAGATAAAGTGACGTGCCCAAGGTCACACAGCCAGCAGGTAGTGGGTGAGGGATGTGAACCCTGGCTTCAGAGACTGTGTTCTTTTCACTGTGACCCTCTAAGGTTGACTACAATCCTCTAGGGCAGAGCCATGGCCTGTCTTGAACGGTCTGCGAGTTTAGAACGGTTTTTACATTTTAAGGAGTTGCAGGAAAGGAAAAAGAAATCAAACAAAAAAGATAGTAATCTTATATGGCCCAATAAAACCTAAAAAAAAGATTTACCATCTGGCCCTTGATAGGTCGGTCAACCCCTGCTCTAAGCACATGAAAACAAGGTGCCTGGGACACATAGGCACCTGCAATAGCTACTGAACAGCATGTATGAACAGCATGTCCTTCGGTCTTTTTTTTTTTTTTTGAGACAGTCTCATTCAGTCACCCAGGCTGGAGTGCAGTGGCAGGATCTTGGATCACTGCAGCCTCCACCTCCTAGGTTCAAGCAATTCTCCTGTCTCAGCCTCCCAACTAGCTGGGACTACAGGCACGTGGACTACAGGCACGCGCCACCAGGCCTGGTTAATTTTTGTATTTTCAGTAGAGACGGGGTTTCACCATGTTGGCAAGGCTGGTCTCAAACTCCTGACCTCAAGTGATCCGCTCCCGTTGGCATCCCAAAGTGCTCAGATTACAGGCATGAGCCGCCACGCCCAGCCTCCTTTAGTCTTTTCAACTTTTTTTTTTTTTTTTTTTTTTGAGACAGAGTTTCACTCTGTTACCCAGGCTGGAGTGCAGTGGGGCAATCACAGCTCACCTAGCTCAGGTGATCCTCCTACCTCAGTCTCCCAAGTAGCTGGGACTACAGGCACACAGCACCATGCCCAGCTAATTTTTGTATTTTTTGTAGATGCAGAGTCTCACCATGTTGCCCAGGCTGGTCTTGAACTCCTGACATCAAGTGATCCTCAATCCTCCGACTCCCAAAGTGCTGGGATTATAGGCATGAGCCATGGCACCTGGCCAACAATCTTTGAAACATATATAATCATTTACTTGCCTTCTACAGATGTGGAAACAGTCACAGAGAAGTTAAGCAACCTCTCCAATGTCCCACAGCCAGTGCAAGGTTGGGCCAAATTTGAACACAGGGCGGTGCCGTGAGAAAGCCCTTGGTCTGAACTACACACAGACTCCTCTTCTTTGGTACTCACTACCTCTGCCCACCTGTGCTGTTCATTACCTTTAGTAGTTTCTCTACATTTGTTGAGCACCTACTGTGTGCCAGGAGCTGGCTAGGCTGGAAGGGGAGGGAGACGGTGGGATGAGGTCTCCTCCAGTTCCTGCCTTGGGGTATGATCCTTTCTCTTCATATAAATGCCCACTTACTCATCTCCTTGCCCTGAGCCTACCTGGTGCCAGGCACCTGCTGGGAACAGGACTGTGGGAAATAATGGGCAACACCCTTCTGCCCCATTGGTGCTCACACCTGTCCCCTCATGTGCATACATGTAGCATTCAGTAATGGAAAGGGCACAGGCCTTGGAATCAGACAGTCCCAAGTTTGAATCTCCTGGCTCTTGTACTCACAAGCTGTAGGGTCTTGGTCAAGTTTCTTTCTTTCTTTTTTTTGTAAAGCTGGGATCTCCTTTTTGTGTGTGTGTGTGTGTGTGTGTGTGTGTATAGCCACTGCTCACTGTAGTCTCCGCTTCCCAGGTTCAAGTGATCCTCCCATGTCAGCCTCTGTAGGAGCTGGGACCACAGGCAGGCGCCACCACGACAGGCTAATTTTTTTTTTTTTTTTTGAGAGAGTCTTGCTCTGTCACCCAGGCTGCAGTGCAGTGGTGCGATATTGGCTCACTGCAACCTCTGCCTCCCAGTTTCAAGCGATTCTCCTGCCTCAGCCTCCCAAGTAGCTGGGATTACAGGCGCGTGCCACTACAACTGGCTATTTTTGTATTTTTAGTAGAGACAGGGTTTCACCATGTTGGCCAGGCTGGTCTTGCACTCCCCACCTCAAGTGATCCGCCCACCTCGGCCTCCTAAAGTGCTGGGATTACAGGCTTGAGCCACTGCGGCCATCCTCATTTTTTAATTTTTTGTAGAGTCGGGGGCCTCCCTATGTTGCCCAGGCTGATCTTGAACTCCTGACCTCAAGCAATCCTCCCACCTCAGCCTCCCTAAATGCTGGGTTTACAGGCGTGTAGCCACTACACCAGGCCTTTGACTATTTCTTAACCCTCGAGGCCTCAATTTCCTCCTGTGGAAAAATGAAGATGACAGTTGCCGGTGATGTTAGCATAGCGTTGGTGTGAGGATTACATAATAAGGCTCGTACAGCTCTTAGCATGGAGCCTGGCACATAGTAAATGGTCAACAAACACAAACTGGCCGGGCTCATGCTAATTTTTAAATTAGCTTCCCAGAGGTTGGGGGCGTCACTGTCTCAAGCCACGCAGTCCGGCCTCCCCTTAACTCAACCTCCCAAGAACGCTCCAAACTCTCAAAGTCAGATTTTCTGCACCGGCACTTTTCATTGGGCGAAAGGCAACCAGGATCCGCCCCATGTGCAGGAGGCAGCCAATGAGAGACGCGCGACCAAAACCCAGCAGGAAGGCCCCGCAGGCTCCAGCCGCCGGACCCTGAGCCTGACAAGCCCCGAGACACGTGCTCAGGCCGGCGGTCCCAAGACCGGTCCTCGGGCCGGCAGCCTCCCTCCTCACTCTCTGCGGAGCCCACTCCCCAGCTGGGGAAACTGAGGCCTCGGGGCGCTGCCGGGAGCCGGGTCTCGGGCCCCAAAGTGCGTCCCAGCCCCACGCGCCTACCTTCTGGGCCCGGGCGTCATCTTCCGCCTGGATCTCAAACTCGCCGTCCTCCGAGTCGCTGCCGCGGGCCTGGGAGGCCGTGCCTCGGCGCTTCCGGAACCCCTTCTTCTTCCTCCACTGGGCCATGGCAGCTCTCGACCGAGGGCCGG